ATAGTGACCCCTCCTTGGGTTTCCAAGGCAGTATCACTACGGAAGTAGGAATGCCCAACCTTCCTTCCGAGGAGTGGCTGGTGATTTTGTTAATAGCAGTGGAATAGTCTGACTGAACTGAATTTGAGAGAGTGCCTTTTACATGCAAAGAGTAGTGTTCCCTAGAGTTTAGACAGGTTGCATTTGGTGCTAGTGGGACATACAAGTAGAAATAGCCAACAGATTCTTATATATCTCTAGACATTAAGAGAAATTTAGACTATAGAAAGTACAGATATTATATTAAGAACAGAAACCAGCCACTCCTTTGAAGGACGGTTGGGCAATCTACTTCCGTAGTGATACTGCCTCGGAAACCCAAGGATGGGTCGCTAGGAGTTGGGTCCGACTTGACGGCACATAACAACAAGAACAGAGAAGGAGTCCCTGAATGGTGCCCACCATTAACACACTTGGCTGCTAACTGAAAGGTCAGAGGTTTGAGTCTACCCAGAAGGAGAAAGGCCTGACAGTCTACTTCTAAAAAGTCAGGTATTGAAAACCCTATGGATCACAGCCCTACTCTGACACATATGGGGTGGTCATGAGTTGGGGGTCAACTTGATGGCAGCTGGTTAGTTTGAGAAGGGAGAAACTAGGAACAATAAGAATAGACAAAAATAGTTGTTTTAGGGAGAGTTTTGCTGTAGAGGGGAGAAAAGATATGGAGCAGTTGTGAAAAGAAGCAGAAATAGATCTAGGGAATGATATTTTTTCATTAATATGATGAGAGAAAGAACAACATGTTTGGGTGATGATGAAAATGCCCAAGAGAGAGGAACAATTTGATGATGAAGGAATTCCTGGAGTCATATCCTTGCAGAGGGACGGCATCATGTCATACCTGGATTATTGTAATAGCTTCCCAACTGGTGTATCTGTCTCTGTGCGTTACACCCCAATACTCTCTTCTCACAACAGCCAGAGTAACCCTTCTCTATATAACATTGGTCACGTCACCCATCCTCTGCTTAGACCCTCCAGTGATTTCCCATTCCATTCAGATGTTCTTCAAGGACATTCATGTCTGACCACCTATTATCTCTCTGACTCTTCTTGATGTTCTTCCCTTTAGCCCCCTCCATTCCAGCCACAGTGGCCTCCGCCAGCATGTCAGTAGGCACCTGGCTGCCACAGGATATTTGCACAGTGTTTAGAATAGTTCTGGAACACTGAGAACTCTACCCCCAGCTCCTGAACACACCACTCCTTCACCTAAATCAAAAGTCACCTTCTTGGCAATACCTCCTCTGGTCACCTTGCCCTCACCACCCCCCTTATGCTGCTGTATTTTAGTATTTTTAATTCTCATCTTCTAACCCGTATATACGCTATGCATTTATTGTGTTTGTCTTCAACCTCTGCTAGAATGTAAGCTTTAAGAGAGCAGAGATGTTTATTTCTTCTGTTTATTCATGTATCACCAGCATTTAGAACAATGCCTTTACCTAGCAGACACCAAAAACTATGTTGAGAGAATGGGTGAAAGTTTCTCTAGGTCTGTCTGATACTCCCTAGACACTTGCTGAGATGCCTGCCTTATAATAGCTTTTAATTCCTTCAGTATTATTTTATAAACAGGATTCCGAAAACAACTGCTAAAAAAGACTAAGTCCTTGACTGAATTACATATGATCTTTTTTTTCTCAATTGAAAACAAAAACTCCTCTGGAATGTAGTGATGGTTTCACAAATATTGTAAACGTGTAAACATAATTGGTCCTAACATTTTTAGAAATATGTTCTAATAAGCCCTTCACAAATCCTGCCCCCCAGTTGGATACCACAGTACTACTTTCTTTTACTGTAAATTTCATAGCTAATAAGAAAAGAGGACAGAAGCCACATGGAGCTTCAGGAGCTGAGTCGCTCACGGGACCCATTCATCAGGAGATGCACACTCATGGCCCAGCCTCTCCCTGCTCGTCAGCAACATCACAATTATAGTAGTTATTCTGAAACCAAGAATATCGATTCTGTGAAAGTCAAACATCCACTATATTAGTCTATTTGCAAAAATAAAATAAAATATTCATTTTAAAAAATTAGTTCGCCCAGGCCACTAGGCCTTGGTTCTAGATTGTAAATATGTGCTAAAAGAAAATAAGCAACTTTTTTTTTTATTATTATTGTGATAAAAATGCATATAACAAAACTATGCCGATCAACAGTTTTACATTTCAGTTCAGGTCAGTGGCACTGATTATGTTCATCACATTGTGCGATCATCACCCCATCCATTTCCAAATTTTCGGCCCTCCGAGCAATGCCTCCCTCTTTCCCCATCCCCCCGCCCCACTTCTGGTAACCACTAATCAACTTTGGTCTCTATACATTTGTGTGTTCTAGATATTTCCTCTAGGTAGGGTAATGCAGTATTTGCCCTTTTGTGACTGACTGATTTCACTCAACATAATGCTTTCAAGGTTCACCCATGTTATAGCATGTATCAGAACTTCATTTCTCTTTATGGCTGAGTCATACTCCATTGTATGTATTTACCACATTTGGGTTATCCATTCATCTGTTGATGTATTTTTAGGTAGCTTTTACCTTTGGGCTCTTATGAGAAGTGCCACAGTGAAATGGCATTGGTGTACTGAGCAATCATCTCTAACGGAGTAACTGTATAAGGTTGTTTTTACTTTGAGAACAAATTTTAAGTAAGCCTCCTATTTGATTTTGGACCTCTGGAAATAAACTCCGAATGCAAACTAAAAACACATTTATTTATTATTTTAAGCTGATTTTTAAATATGTATTCTAGTTGGTGAAAATCTTTTCCTGTGGTAACTTTTTTAAGTGATGATGATGGTCACACGACTTTGACAGTGAATGGTGAGAGGAAGGATTGAGGATGCTGTGGTCACTGAGACAGCTGCCCAGTGGAAATACCTCACCTCTCTTCTGTTTATCATGTGTTTCAGGGCAATTCAAGCTGCTGGAGCAAGATCGAGATATAAAGGAGCCAGTGCAATATTTTAACAGTGTGGAGGAGGTGGCTAAAGCATTTCCTGAACGTGTGTACGTCATGGAAGAAATAACATTCAATGTGAAGGTACTTCTTGAAGAACCAAATATTTATTCTCCTTAAAGTAATTTACCTTTCAAGGCAATAAGTGCACCTCTGTACCTCAGAGGAAAGTTCTGTCTGTCCAACACATTGGCGTCAGAGGCCAAAACTGGTCTTTTAAAAACTGCATTACACTACATCTGACTGGACTCCCTGACAACTTACTATATTTAATTAGTTTTCCCTTGTTTTGTTTTGTTTTTGTTTTTCGCTAATATTTAAAACCAATCTCTGAATTCGAAAATATAATTGTTAACGTAAATCCAAAGGTTTTTATTTATTTATTTATTTATTTATTTATTCACAGTTTTATTTAATTTTTAATTTTTTAACCTTATTTCCTAGTATCTAACAGTTTGGCCAGATCTGGGAGTCTGATGCCTCCATTTTTAGGAGCAAAACTCATATGATAAAACTAATGACAAATACTTACTTTAAAAAAAAAAAAAAAAACAGCATGCCTTGAGATCAGCACATACTCATCCCATATAGTCTTTGTGACTATCAATATGAATATATATAAGGAAAACTGATGTACAGAATGTTGCCCAGTAGGTTTTAATCAATCTTTGTTCATCAAAGAAAAGCTAAATCGTGTTCACTGTGCTGCTTTTGTTGTGTTTTTAAAGGGACAGTTCCATCCTCTTCCACATGTTGAGTGAGCTCCTTTAACTAACTTGCTGTTCAGGGGGATCTAACCAGAGAAACCATGTCACCAGCTAGTTCCAACCTGGTTACCTACAAATCCACTGGGTTTTCTTCACTATCACTCAAATTACACTAAAATGTTTAGAAAGTTGTCTACATTGAAAGGATTTTCTGTTTAACCTGACTTCAGCAGGAAGTCCAACTAAGTCATGCTCTCTGAAAATTTCCAGAAATCAAGGTTTAATTTAGGAAACAAGATTCTTGTTTCTTAGAAATTCACACTATGTGAAAAACAGACTGCGTGGGATCTTAGCCCAAGAATGCAGCAGTGTCTCTGTGAGTGAGTCAGTCACTCCACTCCCAGTCCTTAGGAAAAGGGGGAAGATGCCAAGACAGCCTCCTTATTGGAGAAGCAGTTCTGCCCATTTTATTGGCTAAGCTAAGTCTTTCTTCCAGTCTACAAATACAATACAAACACTATTATATTCTCTGCTCTCTTTAGTTTTATTATTAAGATGGGTGAGATTTGTGTTTTGTTAAATCTTTACTGAGTAAATTATGTTTATATGCAAAAATATTTTTAATTTTAACTTCAGTGGTCTAGTATGTAAGTAATCAAGACAACTTGATTCACTTACAGTGAAAATTTGTGAGAACGTGTACATCTTTACAATATTCAAGACTCATTAGCCAGAAGTTGACCAGATTCCATTCCATTCATGTCTTGATATGATTTAAATCTCTCTTGAAACTTACATCTAAAATTACCTAAAGGAGAAAAAGAAAGATTTTTTAGAAAGTTAATATGTTTATACTCTTTTCTGAACACATTTTATTTGCTGCTAAATTATGAGAAATCATCATAAAAATGTTGTAAGGTTTCCTTGAGTGTTAAAATTTAACATGTGTTTGTTACATATTGGTCATGTCCAGTGTATTTTAAAGATGCCTCTAGCAGATAATTTTTTGTGTGTGAATTTGTATTAAATCAGCAGTGATTGAAAGGATGATATTGAAACCCATGCATTTTGATTGTTGTGTGTGTGTATGTGTGTGTTTATATATATAGAATAACATAATTGAGTGTATTCATTAAAATGTTTTTAATAGAGATGTTAATTAAGAATTCAAAGGCACATATAAGTGTATGAAACACAAGCTTGTAGCATCCATAGAGCTAATTGGATTTGGGTTGAGTTCCTGTGCTGTGCGTGCATAAATATTTAATATCTCTAGGCTATTACTATTACTGGGAGCTCTGGTAGCATAGTGCCTAAGGCATTTGAAGGCTGGCGGTTCAAACCCACCAGCCACTCCTCGGAAGGAAGGTTGGGCAATCTTACTTCCGTAGTGATACTGCCTCGGAAACCCAAGGAGGGGTCGCTATGAGTCGGGGCCGACTCGACGGCAAATAACAACAACAACAGGCTATTACTTATAAAGTTTTAAGATGCCATCATACTCAGCTTGCACTAACCATTAAGACATTATTCTGTGCTATTCAAAGAAGGATTGATAGAGAGGAATCTTAGGAAATTTGCATCAAGAAATACACAGAAGTTGGTGTTCTTAGTAAGTTATACACCCAAGTAGGTAAATAAACTGAGGAGATATAAGCAAAGATGTCTGCATACTAATGGAACAAAATAAAGTTTGGTAGTCGTGGTCTTTAATTAAAAGTATAATTGATTTATAGAATGTGAAGTTATATAATGTAGTATTTAATGTGAAAACTAAGTAAAGGTAAGGAAATGGATGCTTGGTTATTACTTCCCCTGGAGAGGGAGAACAAAATGGAAAACAGTACTTACCTGTTCAAAAATACAGCTATTGTCTAGGAAGCAGTTTGTTAAAAGCAGATCTCAAACCTCTTTGGAAAATTTTACCCTGTATCATCCACTGCAAATATAGCATACGTTAGACCAACAGGATAAACATTGAAGGGAAAACTGTAGTTTAGAATGGATAGCAAGCTGGCATTATGATAGGCAGAAGATACAATTATTATTTGAAATAAAGAAACGTGTGTTTGTAAGTACAAATTGGAATGAGTCATGATGAGAACATGGAGAAAAGCAAAAGTATTGAAAGAATCAAAACTCTACTTCTGGTTTTTTCAAGACTATTCCAGAATTTTAACTAAATAACCTAATAGGTAGTGTAAGTGATATTTACAACTTTATTTTAAAATGAAGCATTCCTATTAGCTGGAAATTATAATAGCCTTTAAAAAATTCTTTAATATGTTAAAAAATATCTGCCTGATTGCCCATCATTGATTAACTGCATAAAATTAATTAACATATGTGTATTTAGTTCTTTAGGTAGCAAATGTATTCTGAGCACCAGCGGTGTGCCTGGCACTGTTCTAGGCACTGGGATAGTGACTATGCAGATCCCTGCCAGCATGGAGATTATAGTCTTATAGAGGAAGATGGATGGATGGATGGA